ACTCCTAAGCTGGAAGCACTGATAACTTCTTCTTGGAGCTATCATACACTTGAGATTCAATGGACTGATCTTCAAGTACCTTCTTCAGGATTAACCTTTGGTTTGGGACAATCACTAAATTCTTACTCTATGAGAGCCTAATTTTGCGGGATTCTTCCCTTCTCAGTAGAACAACTCTACATGACAATGCCTATGTAACAATCTTTATCCAAGAACTTCACAGACCACTGCCCAAAACAAAGTAATACTGAAAATATCTCTAACTCTCTCTAAGCTATGTGTGCTTCCTCTAAGCTTAAAACTGCCAATAATCTAGAAATTACTAACAAACCTTAAAGCACAATGGTCTATCTTACTAAGTCATAAAACATCATCGAGTAAAACGAAAATCCATCGGCAATGCCAAATCAGCTCTCACAAACTGTTCCAAAAGAAATCATCATGGCTACAGAAATCCAAGTTAATTAATACCTTTCGACACATAGAAACCCACATGTTACTAACCCAAAATTCAAAACCTAAAGTTAAATGATATCCAAACTATACATTAATCAGACGGTTGAAATCACAAATATAATAGGAAAAAGAAGACACATGCAGGCTCCTTCAACATGATTGAAAGAAGATGAGTTGACTAGCCAATCTCTCCCTTTCTGGCAATTTCTGTTTTTGTTTCTCTCCCTTTCCTATTTGGTGATTGGAAATAAACTTAAATCTGGCTCTGTCGCAATGCAAAATGATCATGTGGCACATCCCAGAGCTGTCAGCCTGCAATGTCTCCTTTGGGGAGTTTATATTAAGCTTTAAGGCTTCAATTACAAACTGTTTGTATTGAATCCCTTCTGTCCTCTCAAGATATCACAATGAATTTAATTTAACGAAGACACTCCTCCTCCTGAAGGTATGATGATTGCAACATTCAGTTTTAAAATTTTAAATTGAGATAAGTATTAAAATAGAACCAAAATGTATGAAGTAAAATGAAACTAGGTCATTGAAGGGAGGTGTAGATACTCACAAGTTAAAGTATGTCGAGTGTAATCATCAGTGACGCTGTTGGGCGACCCTGGGTGTTACCGACATAATTATTTGTCATCACTATTCATGTCACTTCTTTAATGTGAATATCGCTTGTTTATTCTGCACCCAAGAATAAACTATTCAAATTCCTCAGACATGTCACTACCTTCCAATCTGTGCCATTTTTCCCCAAATCATTTGAATCAAGTTCCCAACACACCACAGTACAAAACAGCTCCTGCCAAAGCCACAAATGACATCCTGTGTGATTTTCACAAAGGTAAACTAACCTTGCTTATTCCAAACTTTGACATGGTTGACGATATTATCCTCCTTCAAAGCCTCTCCACTGTTGTCGAGTTGGTCAGGACTGCTCTCCCCAGCTTCTATTCTTATCTATTCTATTCAGTAGTAGCTGGAAGAGTATATGCAATGAACTCCTCTTCCTTGTCCTTTATCATTCAGCACTAAATCTGTTTTTAGGCCTCTTAGATTTCTCATCAACATGCTGTTCTTTGACAACCTCATCTGAAATATCAAAGCAATTTCCACATGTACTCTGATGACTCCAAGCCTGACCTCACCACCACCTCTTTTGACTTGTCCACCATCTCTAGATCATAACGCTGCTTACCTGTTCAACCTCACCTTACATTTGAGCCCAAGCTGAGATTTGGACCACATATCAATGCCTGCCCATTATCACCTCTGTAACATTGCACACCTCTGCTTCAGCTTATTTGCTACTGACACCATCATCCATGCCTTTGGTCACCTCTAGACTTGAATATTCCGAAGTGTTTCTGTCAGGGCTCCTGCATTCCATCCCCTGTAACATTGAAACTGCCTATTGCCTGTGTCCCAACTCATATCAAGTCTCATTCACCCTTCCTCCCAGCACTTGTTGACCTACATTGGCAATGGTTCTATTTTCAAATTTTCATTCTCATTTCCAAATCCCTACATCGCCATGACCCTCTCTATTTTTATGGCCTCTTCTAACCACACAACCCTCCATGTTTATCTCATTATTGTCTCTTCAGCATACCTAATTTTAATTATTCTATAATTGCCAGACATGCCTTTGACTGGCAATATCTTAAGTTCTGCTTAAGCTCTCCCTAAATCTTGCTGCCTTGCTTTACTCCTTTAAACCCTTCCTGAAAACCTATCTCATCATCTGTTTAAGTATGTTTTTCTGAGGTTTGTGTCAAATGCTGACTGGCAATCAGTAACATGGTCCTGTGAAGCACAGTGGAATATTGTGCTCCATTAAAGATGCTACAGAAATACAAGTTGTTGTTGTATCATCAAAAATAAACATTGCTGAATTAAAATAAATGAATGCCAATTTTGTAAAATGAAAAAAAATGCTTCTTTTATCAGATGGGGCTTCCTTAATTGAAGATCCTGCAGCTCGCTTTCAGAAAAGACAACTAAGAGATCATCCCTGTATCCAGGAAAATACTTATTCCTCAACCAACATCTCAAATACAGATAAAAATATAATACTGCAAATGCTGGACAGCTGAAATAAAAACAGAAAGTGCTGGAGGAATTCAGCATCTGTCGGGAGAAAGAAGCGGAGTTAATGCTTTTGAATCCAAAGAATCTTCTTTGGCGTTCCTCCAGCTCTTTGCGTTTATCTCAAAATCAGGCTCTGCTTGTGAGGGCTTGCTGTGCACAAATTGGCTGATGTATTTCCAACACTTTTAAAATGCATCACTGGCTGTGGGGCATCAGGTGGTTATGAACAGTTCTGTATAAGTGCAAGTTTGTTTTCTGCAATAGAAAGGTACTGGATGGTAAATTGAAAGTAAATGGAATGCAACAGTGCAATGGGGTGAACTGCTGCCAGCTGCTCTGGAGTTTCCAACTACGCAGAAAGCCCCAGGTTCTGACACATGCATTTCTGATACTCTTGTGAAACTGGGTAGTTAGTTCTTCTGCCACATCTCATGAAAACAGTCTGCTTTATTTTCAGCTCACAAGAAGACATTGAGGAGGACGATAGTGGCCAGAAATTTCCCATTTCCACCTTTGGGAATTTGGGTTGTGCAGAGGTCATGCCCTGACTAAATGGACAATGTGTGATGGAAGAAGGTGTTGCATTGATGCAGACATGACGTGCTGGTTAGGTCGATATCTGACACCCATTTCCAGTTATCCTTAAGAGCACACGTTCTTGAATCCCACTCCCACAATATTGTTAGGTAGGGAGCTCAATTTTTTTTTGCTCTGTATTATACTATGTACAGCATCCAATTTGTAACAGGGCCATAAAGACTATATGAAGGGAGGATGTTTCCCTAGCTGGGGAGTCTAGAACCAGGGGTCACAGTCTAAGACACGGAGTAGACCATTCAGGTTGAGATGAGAAAACATTTCTTCACTCAGAGGGTGGTCTACTTGTGAAATTCACTACCACAGAAGGTTGGGTTATTGATTTGGGAGAAAGAGATGGATATATTTTAGAAACTATTAAAGGCATCAGGGAGCACGGAGAGAAAGCAGAAATGTGGCTTTGAGATCGAGGATCAGCTATGATCTGCTGGAGTCAGAGCTAACACAGCGTTTTGCTGGAGGAACACAGCAGGCCAGGCAGTATCACAGGGGCAGGAAAGCTGACGTTTCGGGTCGGGACCCTTTGTCAGAAATACTAAGACACGGAGT